AAAACTAGGTTCTGAGACATTTTGAACCAGTTTATTAGCAGAAGTAGACGTATTTTTAGTCCGAAAGAAATTAAGCGGAAATCGGTGTGATAGGCAGGCCGAACATAGAAGGCGCCCACAAGAGCGACAATGATGGCGCCTGCGCCAGACGGTGAACTTGGCAGAACAGAGCATGCAGACCGTTGAAAGGCTATCAGGTGCCCAGCAAGGCTTTCGCCGTCCCAGCTCATCAGCTTGGAGGCAAGTCCAGGTGGCATTATGACCTATAAAAAGGGTAGGCAATAAATACAATGATTTAACACCGTTATGGAGCTAATTGTTGATGTGGAGATAACTACTGAAAGAGTGCTGATTTCTATTATGATGATGAAACAAGATCTAAGGCAAAGTACCATATTTTCTGTATGGTGAGTGGGTTTTTAAGACTGCCAGTATATCTAATATAAGTTGTATTCACCCCATTTCGTTTAATGTAATGAAGAACTGGTATTCGAATTTTACTACAATTATATGAGTAGCCCTACCTTTCCATTGAAACATGAGACCTACTCGTATCATTGTATGGAACATTCAATTGCAAGTGAATACAGCTCTTATATCAAAGTAACCTATAATTAAGTCGACGTTATAAGAGCAAAATTGTGTAGTCCTAATTATGGATATGGCCTCCTTTCATTGTATAGATTTGGTACCAAGTCTGCGATCCGAAGTTAGAAATTATCATGACTATTATGGCAAAGGAGACCGGACAAGGTGGGCTCAATTAGGTCTCTCAGACAATACAATAAAGTTGCAAAAATGAAGTGAAAACACTTCTAAAGTAACACATAATCAAGAGTCACATTTATTTTGCTTGGGTTTAGCGACTGTACCCACCAGGAATCAGGAGGTAATTGTAGGTCTGCTGGAAGCTCTTTTGAACACCTACTCTTTGAGAAAACCACATTCTCTGACAAATATTCTCCATCTTTAAATTATTTTTTCATTTAGGGATAATTTTTTTCCCTGAATAGCCGTTTCAGTTTTCTTGACTCTTTACTCTGATGCTTAAACGCTCCTCAAACTTTACCATGTAGTTATTCGCCAAACTCAAAGCTAAGCAACAACCCATTGTAAGTCCTTGCAAGTTTGTTCAT